TGAAGAGTGAATATGGCACAATTGATATGGAGCAAACAATCTGTGACCAGTTTCAAAAGCAATAATAAAAATAAAAGTGCCAGGAAATTTCTGTCGTTTGGTAATGCATGCAGGGAACTGAAGGAGTGTTGTTAGTAAACATGTAAATGAGCTTCTTAAATTCAGTACACTGCTTCACCTGGACGAATTTCTATGCATATTACAGTGATATGCCATTCAGTTCATGATAGTTCTTAAAGTTATTTTCTGCTGAAGTTTGATTGGCTGCTGAAATTCATATATTTTTTTTTTAGATTTTTCCAATCCATATTTAGGCTAAACTTAAACCAAAAACATTCAAACTAAATAAAAAATTCCTCAATAAAATAGTGCCCCCTGGTGGCAGAATTGGACTCACTTTGGTGTGTATCCTATAGTTTCCTGAAGTTTGAATTTCTCTTTCAGAATGTATAGGTGTAATTGTTTTGTTGTCTGTGCTCTTGTTTTGCACTCTCAGTCATAGTCTGGTCTTGCTGTTACTGAGTTGAAGAGACAGTCCACCCATAAATGACAGTTCTGTCACGATTTCCTCTCCCTCATGACGTTCCAAACCTGTATGACGACTTCTCCTGTGGAACACTAAAGACGATATTGTGAAGAATGCTGCTGTGAATTCTTTTGACCTCCACTATGTGGACAGAAAAAAAGCACAGAGACGTTTGAGGTGTCTTTAGTGTGACACATGATATCTGTGTTGTACTGAGTGAATTGACTGAAAGAGAACATATGCATTGAAGTCACACATTGGATTCCCATAGTGCTTTGATAACTTACCCGTGTAAATGTCTGGTTGATTTGCCTTGTTTGACAGTCATTGATTTATTTATTTATTTATATATTTTTTTGTTTGTCTTTTCCCCTAGTTTGAAATGCTGACCGGCACGTTACCGTTCCAAGGAAAAGACAGGAACGAGACTATGAACATGATTCTTAAGTAAGTGTGGCTGTTACAACAAGCCAGTCTACGTGATGCTTGATTGGTCAAATCTTTTGTCTAGGCTAGGGATGTTCATTTTAACCGGTTAACCGACCATAATAATTTTGACCGATTAATACAATCAGTTAAACGGTTTAAAAAGTAATTTAATTATTTATTTTTTCAGTAATTTATAAAAATATTTTAAAAGGTTTGCTGCATGGTTAAAATACGCTAAACTTATAAAAAAAAAGTGTTTTTTAGGGGGAAAAAACAAGTCGCGTATAGCCTAAGACGCATTTTTTTATTTAATTCAGAAATGCCTAATGCCGACGCAAAATGTGTACAAACATTATAATAAACACTGTAAACATAGCTAGGCTATTTTAGTTCCCCTCACTCCACAACAAAGCCTTTCAATTAACAGTATTTAGAAAAGAACGAGAATTAAAAATATAAGAAGCTATAGCAATATAAACGACAAGCCAAAACTAATTCATTTAGGATAAAACGAAACTGAAACCAACGTTGGGTCTCTCATTCGACACAAAATCAAATGTTTCCGTATTCGCGATGTATTTGAATGCCAAATTATTATTTAAGTACTTCACTGGCGTTCCAATATCCACAAAACAAAATGTTTTGCATACCATCACGGCGGTACTGTGATAACACTTAACGGCTTAACAGATTTTACTACATATTTTTTACTACATAATTCTTTTCCCATATGTTTGACTGACTGTATTTTATTATGATAATGAACAGTCTGCATTGTCAAGGTAGCAAAGCTTAACTGTGTGTGCATGCGGCGCCGGTGCAATCAAAAATAATCTTGTCGGTTAACGGTTAATAATCGGTTAACAAGCGTCAGTTGTCAGTTAGGAAAAATAACCGAAATGAAAATCCCTAGTCAAGGCTGCCAGATAGAAATGAGATTGACTGGCAAACTGAAGAACCAACAACAGACACCGTTCATTTGTTTAGTGATCATGATGACTGTGCACATAAAATGCTGGTAATGTTGTGACTTTTCCCGTTTGTTCCTGCACCTCAGAGCAAAGCTGGGAATGCCACAGTTTCTAAGTCTGGAAGCACAAAGTCTTTTACGAATGCTCTTCAAAAGAAATCCAACGAACCGTTTAGGTAAGTCACCTGTTGTGTGAATGAAAACACTAGGCCAGGGCTTGTTGAATTGTAATGGAAACAGACTGTGGTGTACTCTGTTCCAGGAGCGGGTCCTGACGGCGTGGAGGAAATCAAACGACACGCGTTCTTCTCCACCATCGACTGGAATGTGAGTATATCTCTTATCCCAGCATTGCACACTTCTCTCAGTGTAGTGTCCTGTCCTCCATCACTGAGCCAGATCCTGCTGTGTTTGACTAATGATTACCGTCAGGAGCGTCTGAGAGACCAAACGCTGATGCACTGACCATGAAGAGAGAGAGAGCTTCATCAGTACAACCTGCCTCAGTCACAGATTACAGTTAGTCAGCATCAGATCAGAATGAGACCGTTCACGTTCCTGCTCTTACTCTCTTTTTTTTTTTTTTTTTTTTTAGCAAAATTGTGAATTGTCTTTTCTGTTGAAACATACCACATGTGCCAATGGCTTTGTGTAATTTTTCTGTATTGCTACTCTTCATACATTTAAAAGTTCCGATGGACTTCACTTTTTGTCCGGTTTGATGAATAAAATCATTTTGAGACAGTCAAGCATTTAACTCGGCTGGAGTAGCTCAGCAGCGCATCAGAAATGGAGACGTCCGTCGACTGAAGGCACATCATGACAGCTGCAGGCAATTTCAGAGAGAACTGATAGCAATCAAAGTGATTTCATTACGATGCACTGCTTCACAGCAGCCTTGTTGCGTCAGAGCATCCTAACCCATTAATCCTATGGCTTTGTTTGCACATAGTGCCAAAACTGAGCTCGGTAATGTGCAATAATGTTACTTCTAATCTTGAGAAATTCCCAGAGCTGATGTACCGGTGTTTCTTAACAGGTACGGATCACATGTAAGCTCTAAACCGAAAAATGTGTTTAAATTTGCATAGTCTACATGTAAAAGCATCTTATTTTATTCCAAAGGGGAAAAAAAAATCTTCATAATCTTCAATTAAAATGTAACTTGCGTGGCTCTTTCTTTTAGGTCACTGTTGTAGGTAATGCAGCCTTTCTGAAATTGTAATTTCGGCTCGTTAACATGAATGTAATGAAGATTGCATGACATGATGAAAAGAATGGAAAGATTTGAAAAGCAAATGTAAGAGATGCTTTGACTGCAAGCTTGCGTTCAGCTCTGACTCATTATCATTATAAATAAAATCCAGTCCAGATTGTGCTGCTACACTCAGAAATCCATGGGTTGTTAATGCTGTTTCTTGTTGAATTCAGTCTGGCTGATGGTCAGCCTTTACCTTGTTTGTATGTGTCAGTTTAAGTATATTTTATACGAGTAGCATGTGTTTGTTTGTGATTGTAGAAACTGTACCGAAGAGAACTTCAGCCTCCATTCAAACCTGCTACAGGGAGACCAGACGACACCTTCTGCTTCGACCCAGAATTCACAGCCAAAACTCCCAAAGGTGCAATAGAGAGACCACACGAGAGCGAGTGCTGATGTATTCAGGTATTCCTGCTTGACTTGTGTTTTGTGTGTGTGTTGGACAGATTCTCCAGGCATTCCCCCCAGTGCAAACGCTCACCAGCTCTTCAAAGGCTTCAGTTTTGTAGCTCCAGTCTCTCTGGAGGACAGCAGAAGTGCCCCGCTAGTCAACATTCTCCCCATAGTGCAGGTAAATCACTAATCTATCTGTCTGTATTTCAGTGAGCTGTGTATGTATTGTTTATGTGTGTGTGCGTGTGTGTGTATGTGTGTGTGTGCGGTGTCAGATGCACGGAGGCTCGGCTCAGTTTGTAGATGTGTACGAGCTGAAGGAGGACATCGGTGTGGGTTCCTACTCCATATGCAAGCGCTGCATACACAGGGTCACCGCCATGGAGTTTGCTGTGAAGGTGAGACACTTTGAGCCGTGTGTAGAATTAATACCTGTTGCGTAGTTCTGCGTCTGCGACTAAATCTCCTGCCTAGTCAAAAAGTCTTGATTTGCTCAGGCATTTTTAGCGTTTAGGATTCATGTTTGTTAATTAGCCTAATTATTACTGCAGGCATGAACTATAATGTTTATGGTCTTTTCTGGCAGGATAAGCTAAATCCCACACTGCCGACAGTAATTGACCTAACTGTATATATCTGTTTGTAATTATGCAGTAAAATATTATATGTGATCTGGGATTATTAGAAGAAACTGCACCATGCAAAATCTTGCTTTGGAGGACAGTGCTTGGAAATATTTCACGTTTTCAAGTCCATTCATTCATCTTGTTATATCCGATAATCACAATGTTTTGTGCTGTGTTACTTTTAACCCTCTGGGGTCCGAGGGTGTTTTGGGGCCCTGGAGAAGTTCTTTGAGAAAACAACTTTTATGTGTGCTTAGTGAAAAACTACAATTTTAAAGTCACTGAAATAAGGTCATAAAACACATACAGAACATTTGTTCACAAGACTTTTGAGAACTGATCTTGAAGTCTATAGTTTTTGCTTCAGAATGATGTGATAATCATCTTGTTTACGCACAGAAAACAATATATTGATTTAAATTTTCTAAGACACATTTTGTGTAGAATATAGCACATTCAAAATATTTACACCAGAGCAGATATTCATGAACAGAAGCTTAGTTACATTCATAAACATAAGCATGCTTTGTATGTAGGCCTATACAATCCAAAAACTATAGTTATAAACATATATGGCTATATTCGTGAACCGAGAATATCCTATCACAGTACAGTTTTGACTAATCATTCTTACTGCCATTAGGCTCGTAACATTATAACTCATTACTTTTATATAGGGATGCAAATGATAATGATGAAGGGGAATGAAGGTCAGGAGAAGATGCCACAAAACGCGTATCCGCGTTTGTCGACCCCAAAGGGTTAATCAGCTTTCAAATTCTGTCAATTTGATCAAAAATACAAACTATAAATGTGGCTTTGACGCTGTGAGGCGTTTGCTGGTGCACCGATCATCTGTTCATATTTACTACTAGTTATAGCAAAAAATAAACACGAATGAACATCAGAAAAGTGTTGAAAGAAACTCGACACAATTTTTTTTCAACCACAGAAAGACGTCAATAAAACCCGTGAACAATGTCATGTAAAGTCACATTTACCTCAGGAAAGACATTTATTGTACATTAAATTATAGTCAGCTAGAAAAAAATAGCTCTAGAGAGAAGCTTTGTATTACATTCATTATATGTGACCTTGGACCACAAAACCAGTCATAAGGGTCAATTTCTTTTAAATTGACATTTATACATCTGACAGCGGAATAAATAAGCTTTCCATTGATGTATGGTTTGTTAGGATAGGACAATATTTGGCCGAGATACAACTATTTGAAAATCTGGAATCTGAGGGTGCAAAAAAAATCTAAATACTGAGAAAATCATCTTTAAAGTTGTCCAAATTAAGTTCTTAGCAATGCATATTACTAATCAAGAATTAAGTTGCTATATTTACGGTAGGAAATTTACAAAATATCTTCATGATCTTTACTTAATATCCTAATGATTTTTGGCATAAAAGAAAAATCAATAATTTTGACCCATACAATGTTTTTTTTGGCTATTGCTACAAATATACCCCAGCGACTTAAGACTGCTTCAGACTTCAGATATAAAAACGCAGACTTGTTAAGAAATGTTTACTCAATGAAATCATGGCACGGTGGCAGTTCGGTTCTTTATTATTAGTAGTTGTAGCCATTGCAGCGTGAATGTCGTCTCAGCTATCACTGTTGGCGTGGATGATCATCATGTTGAGCGTAGTTGCGCCTGGCTGTAGTTTTATTTGGTGCAACAGGTGTAAATATTTATCGTAAAGCTGGACGTTGCAGGGCTTACACCCAGCATTTTTACATCTAGCTGGTGCAACCGGCCCGTGGTGTAATGTCTTCACTGTTCTGGTGTCAAACAGATCATTGACAAGAGCAAGCGCGACCCGTCGGAGGAGATCGAGATCCTGATGCGGTACGGCCAGCATCCCAACATCATAACGCTGAAGGACGTGAGTGACGCGGCTCTGGTCTCTGGTCTCCAGCTGTGTGTGCGGCTCACTCAGGTATGTGTGTGTGTGTGTGTCAGGTGTACGACGAGGGCCGCTTCGTGTATCTGGTGACGGAGCTGATGAAGGGCGGCGAGCTGCTGGATAAGATCCTCAGACAGAAGTTCTTCTCGGAGCGAGAGGCCAGCGCTGTGCTCTACACCATCACCAAAACTGTGGACTACCTGCACTGCCAGGGGGTGAGAGACGCTTGCCCTCACTCTAAACACTCCACGCTTAACAGGAGGCACAGCCGTGTTTACCACGAACTGTCTGGTGTCTGCTGCTGCTGGTTATGTTAGCTCTACAAAAGCAAACATTGTTTGAATTTATCATTGTAATCATAAATGTTTGTGACCGTTCTGACACTTCTTCATGATAGTTTAGTGAAGTAATTATCTCACACACGTGACCCTGGACCACAAAACCAGTCATAAGGGTCAACTTACAATGTATTGTTGGCTATTGCTACAAATATACCCCAGCGACTTGAGACTGCTTTTGTGCTCCAGGGTCACATATATTCTAAACCAGGCAAAATTGCCCATGGTCTTGACGGCTAGAGATCATCATGCATTTTACTCGTATGAAGAAATGCGGAGTCAAATTTGTAATTTGAAATCTAGGTGTGTTGTAAATATTATCTAGTAGACATGTCCAGTTTGGTGAGGAAGTCTGCATGAAAATGATTTGAAGACTTATTAGGACCCTCTAGTGGTCACACTTGTGAATTACTGTAGACCTCATTTACAAGAATAAGTTATTGTATACATGTCAGTCATAAACATAATTACTGTAAAATGCTGTTCATTTCTATTATTTATTTCCCCCATCTGCCAGCTCTCAAAATCTCATCAGTTCTGCACAAATCATGTAAATGGCATGTTGAGAATGCAAAGAACTGTGATTACTTTACCTATAATAATCCAGGAAATTAATTATTAAAAGAAAAAAAAGTTATTTGGAAATGTTCAGAAAATCAGATTTGAAAAGTTATGTCCGCTTCATCGTCTGAATTTGTAATTGGGCTGTAGGTTACCTAACAGCTCTGCTGATACTCAATTGATCAGTTGTTCTAAACATGACATGATGTTACAATCACACATGCTTTCTTATTAATGAAGGACAGTAATTCTGTTAAACATACTGTACATAGAAACATCATTACTTGTGCTATATATTGGAATTCAATGAATTATCCAAGTATTTGATGTTTAACAAGGATAGTTGCATTTAATTGCTTGCTTTTGTTTTGCTAACTTAATTTGCATTTTAAAATGAGACGCCTTTCTACTTTCACTTGATGTGTCAGTCTGAACACATTTACATTTAATCATTTATCATGCTTTTATCCAAAGTGATTTACAAATGAGGACAATAGAAGCAATCAAAATCAAGAAAAGAGCAATGATATACAAGTGTTATAACAAGCCTCAGTTAGCTTAATGCAGTACACGTAGCAAGGTTTTTTAAAAATTATATAATAAATAAGAAAACCGATAGAATAGAAAAACAATAGAGCAAGCTAGTGTTAGAGGCCTTTTTTGCTTTTGTTAATTGTATAATAATAATAAAAGAAAACCGAATAGAGAAGCTAGTGTTTTTTTTTGTTTTTTTTTTTAAGAAAACAAGCAGTTAGTAAATGAATAGTGTGCAAGTCTAAAAGGGGCACGTTTTAGCATACGCTAATGGCCTTCGTGAAGCATTTCATATTCAGAGCTCCCATGCTTGATAAGTCCACAGAAGTCTCTACATGGCATTTTGCATGCTTTAAAATGTTTTATGATTTTTTTTTTATTATACACTGTGTATTGGTGCATGCAAATGACGTGAGTGGTTTAAATACTCTGTCCTAGTGTGAAACTGATTGGGAGGGAGTCACTCTATTTAAGCAGATTCAGAGCACATAGATCCTGAGCTATCAGAAGTTTCGACTGACTCTTAGTCTTAACCGTCTAGTTTGAGCAGCAGAGCGTTTGCAGATGCTGATGCGGTGACGATCTGCTCCTCCTGCAGGTGGTGCACAGGGACCTGAAGCCCAGCAACATCCTCTACATGGACGATTCAGGGAACCCCGACTCCATTCGCATCTGTGACTTCGGTTTCGCCAAGCAGCTGCGAGGAGACAACGGGCTGCTGCTCACTCCCTGCTACACGGCTAACTTCGTGGCTCCTGAGGTGAGGCTCTGCGGCTGCGCATGCACCGCTGCACTGACAGACAGACAGACCTCGCTCACGTGTCTCTGATGTGCTGCAGGTGCTGATGCGGCAGGGCTACGACGCCGCCTGCGACATCTGGAGTCTGGGAGTCCTGCTCTACACCATGCTGGCGGGGTCTGTGTGACATCTGCAGAACTTCTCTTCTGTTACTGACAGAGTGGAGATGCTTTAAAACAAACAGCTGTCAATTCGGCATTTTACTGATAAAATGGTGTGCGTAAAGGACGGTGTCATTCTTAAATAAACAAAAAGAGCTGTTGCTGTGAAATGGAGAGTAATGGAGATGAGTAATGAGAATGCAGTCAAGCCAGCTGTGGGTTGATGTGGCAGAGAAAGCCAAGCTTTTCCAATTGAGAAGTTTTTCATTGGTTTGTTTTGATTAAAGAAAAAAATCATTATGTTTTAGAGTTCGGAGGTCTCCTTTCCAAAATGTTACCTGTTGAAACAAAATAAAAGAGATAGTAATAACATTCTTTTAATCATGAGAGAACATTGTGCTAATGCACTTTTTTTTTTCTTTTCTTAGATGCAGTTAAAAACTAAATTGATGCATTTTTGCATATTGCATTTTGTAAAAAATAAAATAATACTAAATACATTTAAAACATTTAAAATAACATTTTCATATAATGACTCAAAAATGTGCTCCTTGGATACACTCTACTTTATTTTTTCATCCGTTAGAATAGAAATAAAATTATATTGCAAATAAATAAAAACCGTCTTGTCGACAGTAACTGCACGCCTGCAGTTTTACTTATGATTTTCGACAAGCTCCAAATATTAAATATTTTCCTCATCCATCTGAAACAAAACTATTTATTTTATTAAATTACTGATTAAATATTTATTTTTTTTATTTGTTATAGACTTTTTAGATCAATCATTAGGCTCTTCATAAACTAGTACTGTTGTATAGCTGCTGTGTATTTTTCACAAGACTGTATATCAAAATAAAATAATGCTTGATAATATTAATTTTGAAATGAGAGTAATCACGATCTATTTTGAATTTAATAAAACATTTTAACTTGGATCGTTTATAAAACAAATGAAAAACATCAAATCCAAATACGTAACAAAATGACAAAGAGGTTTTATTTAATTTTTTATTTAACCTTTAGTTAACTAAGAACTTTATTAATCTGAGATTTAGAATCTATTTCAGAGGAGTGTCCTGGCCAAAAATCTCTTGCATTTCTTGCCACAGTGATTTAATTACTACAGCATTAATATACAGTCTGACACATTACAGCAGTAGGCTGAACAATCAATGGATTTCTTAATTTTAAGAAATAAAATAAAATTTAATTTCATAAAAAAAAAATGAAATAAACTACATTCCATAAATTTGTTTCTATATTGGTACATGATTGGATGCATTACATTTTTTTTTTTTTAACAAAAACCAAACAAACATTGCATGGAAACTGGATTCTGAACTAGCCAGATAAGGCTAAATGAATGCGAATGCATGTGAATCCCGTGTTTCTCTGTGCAGGTACACACCGTTCGCCAACGGCCCCAACGACACGCCGGAGGAGATCCTGCTGCGCATCGGCAGCGGGAAGTTCTCCCTGAGCGGAGGAAACTGGGACTCGGTGTCCGACTCCTCGAAGGTAGCAGACGAGTTATCATGCGTTCATGACGAGTCACAGTTCAACAACATTCCTGGCTTAAAATATATATCTGGTGCAGGCGACCAGTCAGTGGCTGGCTTGGCCTTTATGGTACATATGAAGAGTTCATTTGCAAAAACCGATAAACGCCACTTTAAAAAAAATTGGGTGATTGCCGTGCATTATTCTCCACATATAGCGCGATCTGAACCCTAAACACGTTTTGTCAAAAAAGCCGGTTTTGTCCACTTTCAAGTAGGGATGCTCCGATCGATCGGCCGGAGATCGGTATCGGCCGATAATCATATTTTATGACTTGATTGGTACTCACTAACTTGGCCGATCTCACGAACCGATCGCAGTTTGATGACGTCAACATGCGACGACGTACATGATGCGTGGGGACATAAATGATTTCGCGCCGCAGTCATGTCATTGCCGGTGTGGCAATGCCATGACGTTTCGAGAAACAATGAAAAATTTGCTGTTGTGTATGTTTTGCATGATTCATCTACACAGCAGATTCAGTGATGTTAGAGCTGATCTGCGCCTCACTGCACACGTCTGCGGTGCGTTACGGCTCCACGGCCACCGGAGCTGATCTCGGCCGCTATAATGCTTGTGTTTATCAGCCAGCCGCGGCACATTTCTGAAGCGGCTCTCCGTGCTGCTTGGTTAAAAATAGTCTTTTGTGAGTTGTCACAGCGTGGAGGACAGAACAGAAACTGAGGTTTCCCCGGTAATAGCTGTACACAAAGCAGCGCTGAGCTCACAAACGCTGCTTTATCAGGCATATAACATGCAAGATGAAATGAAAATGACATCGAAAATTTTCTAAGGCTAGTCTTCCTTCAGAAATACAGTGATATAAAAACACCTGCGCCTCGTTTTGATTTTTAAACGTGCAGTTACGTGCTCATGTTTATTCAACGAAGCCTTTTGGAAAATCCGTCAGTTTTGATATTGTGGCGAGCGCCACAAATAAATAAATGTATGGGAAACATATCCCACAGCACAACCACCTGAGCCCAACTTCAGTCTACTCATCACCTTAACTTTAACTGCGTTTGTAGCCGGCGCCAGACTGATAAACAAACACAGACCGGAAGTTAATTTCGGGCCAGGCGCGTGCGCCCGATGAAACCGTCTATATAAAGCTTGAAGCATCGGCATCGGTATCGGCCGATCACCATGACAAGAAATCGGTACTCCGTATCGGCTGCAAAAATCCTGATCATAGCATCCTTACTTTCAAGGCATCGTGAGTTCACGTTTTACTGCAGAAGCCGACAAGCGCCCTTATTGTTTTTGAACTGAAGCCGATAAGTCCATTTTAGCGAATCAGCACGCTGTATTCAGGTCAGGTGACAAGGCTACTTTCACTTTGACGAAACTCCTCTCAGCTAGCACGTCTTTTCAAAGCTGACTAAAAGTGATCGAGGATGGATAATTTAGACAAACTTGATGAACCTGTGATATCATCTTCAGGGTGAAAGGAAAATAAAAGCTGAAAGGTTTTCACGGAAGCTTGCAAAAGCAGCGCGTTACAATGATGAGGGAAAAGCTCTGTGTATTGCATGTAATCACATCCATACAGTTTATGATCACAACAACAACAACGTTTGTCAGGCGTCTACATTGTTATCTGAGGAGATTACAAACTCTAAAACTCGAAACTCTTAACTCTAAAACATGAAATGTGGAGTTATCTGCTTTTGCTTTAAAACAAACTTTTAATATGTAAAAAAAAAAAACATACTTTCAATGAACTTTAATTTAGTAAATTACCTGTATTTGTTTAAGTTATTATTATTTAATCAAAACAACGCAACTGCAGTTTGATTGATATTACTTGGAATGCACAATAAAAAAAAAACGTGATTTCTGGAAAAAAAAATAAAAAAAATGAACTCTTCATATATAAATCCTAATAGGTGCCTGTGATTGATTCAGAGGAGCACAGTCATTCACAGCAGATGTTGAGAGCTGGTGTTGTGTGCAGGATCTGCTGTCACATATGCTGCATGTGGACCCTCACCAGAGATACTCGGCTGAACAAGTGCTCAAACACTCGTGGATCGCCCTCCGCGACCAGAACCCACACTTCCAGCTCACGCGCCACGAGGCGCCTCATCTGGTCAAGGTACGGCACGAATTTAACCTTGTGCCATGATTTTAGTTTTTAGAAGTCGAGGAATTGTGATTTTTGAATAGAAATATTACCAAATGTAAGAATTATGTTAGAATTTGACAATATGCCGGTGATAACAGTAAAGAGAAAATAGTAATGACCCGACCGCACGTGATTAACTGCTCATGAGTGACGCCCCATTCACACGGGGCGTCGGCGTCAACGCTTCTCGTTTACTTTGAATGGAGTGACGTCAAGCGTTGGCGAAATGAATTGTGGGTCTGTTGCGTTGGGTACGTTGCTCGCGGCAGAAGTTGAAAACTTTTCAACTTATCAAGCGCCAATGCAGGCGTCAGCCAATCAGATCGCCTTATGCAAATAACCTAGCGCAGACGCTAGCCAATCACGTTCATGCAACACCAGAAAACTAATGTGATTGGCTGTTGTCACTATGACGGTTGCGTCAGCACCAAGCTTCAGAAACGCCCTCCGTCAAGCGTTAACGCTGACACCCAGTGTGAATGTGGCGTGACACGCTCGTATCACACAGAATGCGCTTTTGTGTTGACAGAGATGCGACGCGAGCAGTGGAATAGGAAAAACATGCAAGAAGATAGGAATAAACTTCTTTTAACTTGAGCACCACATTTTTAGACTGCCGTTTCATGCAAGAGCCACGAGCGCAACAGTCAAACCATGTTACATAGAAAAACAATGGAAAAGCAGCGCAGTCGAATAAAAAACCTGTAACAACTACTGTATGTCTGATATTTAGAGATGCATCGATTGCAATTTTCTTGGCCTATTCCGATTTTTTTTGTGTGACCTGCCGATTCCGATTTTCTTTCTAAGAACTATATTTGACAGCATATACAAACAAAAATCAGATGTCGTTCCCCACTATGTTTATAAATAGTAATTTTTTCCTTAACCTTATTAAATGTCATCTTTCACATCAAATTCTTACATTGTTTCAATCCATTAAATCAATTAAAAAACTGTAAAGCTGAACAAACTCCATCTTTCCACTGCAGCAAACACAGAAGCTGCATCTGAAGCATTAGATGTATTTACTCAGACTGTTTGATGAAGCTGAGCTGCCATAGATGCATTACACTGCAAAGCTTCAAATGCATAAATAATTGTATAAAATTTAATGTTTAAATAAATTTTAAAAACACACATAAGACATGTTAGGAAATATACAATGGTACTTTTAAATATGAAACCAAACCACCAGTAGGTGGCAGCAAAATGAGTGAGTTTAGTCATTCATTCAACAGATTAATTCAAACGGCTGATTCATTCAGAAACAAGGCAGGTGACTGCTGTCTTTATGAATGGGCCACTGAATCATTGACTCGCTCGATTCATTCAAAAGCGTGGATTCATTCAGTAACGAAACACCGCTGTGTTACTCGGAGACACAAAACAGTTCTGCTGTGGCTTTGATCGGACCGATTTTCATCAGAGAAATTGAGCAAAACCAGTCAATATTATGTCTAAAATGTAATCTAATTTTAACTACTATTATATAAAATCAGTGTCACATTGCAATCGTTTTGATATTCGGGGAAACATCTTGTTCGTGTAGGCTAATGCTGCTTAACATAATCATATATTATAAATATCTTTTTTTACTACCGCATTATGCGTCTATAATTTTCTGGGAGTGCTGTTGATTTCTGCACGAGTCTCACACTCACGTATAATATGTATAAGACAAGTTTACACAAGATGTAGTTGTAGCTCATGCATCTTTTCTGCAAAGATATTTAACAAGTGATTTGTGTAACATTCACATCATGTGCTGCACTCGGAATAGAATTTTCTTTAACTAGAGGGTTAATACAGAACAAGTTACTTGAATCATGTTGTAGTCACATTTTCAAGTAGTTAAAAATCGAGAATAAACGTTCTGAAACATGCAGATTGTAATGTTTTGGCATATGGAGTATGAGTGTGTGGTGTGTCTCGTAGGGAGCGATGGCCGCCACATACTCTGCTCTGAACCACAAGACGTGTAAGCCGGTTCTGGAGCCGGTGGCTGCCTCCAGTCTGGCCCAGCGCAGGAACATGAAGAAGCTGACGTCTACAGACATGTCCTGAGGAGCTCGGCGTACTCTTCAGGAGTGCCCTTCTGCTTCTCTCTGGTAGAGGGAAGAACACCAGCTCCATCTCTCATCCCGTGTTAGCGAGCCGCTCTTGCCCTCCACAACCAGATCTCCTGAAGAAATCTCCACATCATATAGAGCCTGTTTGTAGGACCATTAAGAACAAGCCCTTTTCTCACAGATTTCCTATTAATATCAGGATTTATCTTGGCTCAATTCTCCAGTGTGTGCTACAGGAAATACAACCTTCTTCTGAATACTTCACAGGTGAAATGATGTCTAGTTTTCCCACTTTAAAGGATTAGTTCACTTCCAGAATACAAATTTCCTGATCATTTACTCAGCCCCATGTCTTCAGTCGCAAAGAAATAAGGTTTTTGAGGAAATCACTGCAGGATTTTTCTCCATATAGTGGACTTCAATGGTGCTCAACGGGTTGAAGGTCCAAAATGTAGTTTCAGTGCAGCTTCAAAGAGATCCACACTTATCTAGGGCCTTATCTAGCCGAACGATTGGTTATTTTCTGAAAGAAGTAATATTTATAACCAATCGTTTGACTAGTGTAGATCTCTTTGAAGCTGCACTGAAACTGCATTTTGGACCTTCAACCCGTTGAGCATCATTGAAGTCCACTATATGGAGAAAAATCCTGCAGTGATTTCCTCAAAAACCTTATTTCTTTGCAACTGAAGACACAGACATAAACATCTTGGATGACGTGGCTGAGTAAATGATCAGGAAATTTGTATTCTGGAAGTGAACTTCTCCTTTTTGTGTATGAGAAGCAGATGAGATGAGAATTGGATGAATACGCCTAAAATGAGTTGAATTGTCAACAGTGTTACCGTGCAGAAGCATCTTAACGGTCCAAAAACAGGCACGATACGGTTCTGACCTGTGCGTTTCTCTCCGTTCTCCATCTGTGAGCCCCTTCATGTCCCGTTAGTGTTGCGGACCACATGGCATTACCTCAGAAGCACTCGGTGTATATAGTCTCGTTCATCATGCGTTTGTGAGGATCCCTGAGCACATTTGCACTGAGGCTCGTCTGTTCCAGTCTCGGACCGCTCTTTGCCTTTCGTTGAATGGGAAGTACATGAGCAAAAGGTGGAGAATTAAATCTATATTTATAAAGTCGAATGAGGTGAATGAAGATGTAGATGAGATTGGATCCACGAAATCGCATCTCTCTGCTCCAGATGGAGGGGAAAAAAATATTCCATAAAACTTTTTAAAGACATTGTGGAAATTGTATCATATTGTATTTATTTCACTTATTTTTAAAATTTTATTTTTCTTTCAGGTGATGTACATATTGACATTAAAGAACATTATTGACACGATGATTTTCTTCTGTGATTTCATTGTCATGATTGAGAGCAAAATCAGCAAACGATGAAATCAAAGGGTCAGGAAACGTTGCTATGGCAACGCTGTACCACAATGGAAAATGGTAAAAAAAAAAAAAGATTTTCTTTTTGATGTAAATGCACATTTCTTTTAGAAATTGACAGATGTATATAGTCAGAACTCATGCAAACCAAAAACAAGTAGATCCCTATCATTGAACTCATCCTCGCTCTCCTCGCATGGAAGAGCTAATTCCAAGAGTTATGCGAAATCGCATAACTCTGCACTCTTCCTGTTGGACTTTCTGTAAAACATTGCTTTATTCATTTTCTGAAAAGAAGAAATAATTCTGTTATTTATGAATTCAACTACACTGCAATAAACGCTTCAAATAAATAACTGCAATCCTATTATTGATGCTACTATCTATAAAAAATCCCAATGGGGAAATACATGACTGCAATTCCACTGAGGTACAGCGTTGCTGTATGGAAACATTAATATTTTCTCAATTTACAGTAAAACTATGTTAGATAAAGTTAAATTGTGAATAAAAATATCTAATTTACTTAGAGGCTGCAAAAAAAAAACCTCCTTGAGAAGAGATGTGTAGAGATGAGGTTAACAGCAATTTCTGGAGCAGTTCAGCAGGTGGTGATAAAGTGTTTTGGATGGACATGCAAATGTCATGTGACTTAACCCTCATATGGTTCTCATTTCCTGTTTACACGAATGGTATTGGGTCAATATGACCCCAAAATTGATAAGAGTAATTGTAAAAAAAATATACATTTTTAATCATACAAATAATATATCTTTTTTTTTTGTTTGTTTACTACTTATCTCCCAAAACACAGCTTTAATGTACAGATGAGAAGTACTTTTGTACCTATTTACCACAAAAATCCTCAACTACACCATTAGCTTGCATGTTAAATATTACATTTTCATTACAAAATCACTTAAATGATGATCTAAATCTGATTTAAGTTGTTTCTGGATATTGATCTAGGTGTTGGGTGTAGAATTCTGCCATCTGCTGGTTAGAGAAAAACTTTACAGTTGAAAAAAAAAAGAAACGTGTAATGACCATATATATCCAGCAGAGGCCCATAGAGATCCATTCATTTTTCTGGAAGTGGCTAACTGCTACTCACAACTTTTCTGATATATATTTTGTAAATATACATTGAAACATTATAAAATACATTAAAAACAGTATTTTTCTCAAAGGTTAGAATTAGTTTTTGTTGTCTGAGGTATTTCGAAGTGCCCGCTCTTGCAATAATGCCACATACATTTGCAGAAATGCCAAAAGTTGTCACTAAAACTTTTTTTTTTCATAAAATATTGTCACTTTTTTTTTTTCAATCTAAAAAGTACAATCAAAACAATTTTATTTAAATGTACATAAAAACCACACATAACCACCCCCCCCGAAACAAAACAAAACAAAAGTAACTGCAATAAGCAGATATGAATGGTGTGAGTATGCTCGTTCCACATTACATTTGTGCTCTAGTATCAGGCCTTCGTTTTTGTGTGGCCATTTTCAGATGTATGCTGGATTTATTGATTTTTTTTTTGACAAATGAAAAAAATATATATAGATTTTTTCACATTTCCCATTCATTTCAATGTACCAGATTAGTAAAAAAAAAAATGTACATACCTTCAGAACAACCGAATCAACCCGTTTTTTAAATTTTTTTTATGTGAATATAGATAGAAAATGTAGAAAAGTCACAAAATCGTATTCCGCTGAGATGAAGGGAACCATTTTGTTTTAACTAAGTAAAAATTGATTGGGGTCATATTGATCCCAAGGACAGATTGAGGGTTAAAAACAGCACATCACTGGCTACCTAAAGGCCTGCCCTTTTAATTCCCATAGTGCAATATATTGTTTGTTTTTTGTTTTTTTCAGATGAGTAGAAATTAATTGTTGCCATATGGCAACTCAATACCAAGTCAGCCAGCGAGTGAAGAAAACACCGGCATTTTATGTACAAGAATGATAAAATTATGAAAGAAAGGCATTGGTAAAACACTTTTCAATATTGCATGAAAAAGAATGCATGAAACTAGAATAAAATGGGGTTTGTTTAAGAGCGAAGGCTCTGCTCTTTCTTTTGACTTACTGCATGTTCAGATATTCGTACAACAAATATTCTAGGGGCCATGAAAGCTTTGTGAAAAATGAAAACATTCTGGCGGAGACTGGCAACCTAAAAAAAAAAATAAAAAAAAAATGCCGGAGGGGAAAGAGTTAAGATAGAAAAACTGGTTTTACAAATGCTAGAAATGTGGCTTTCAAATGACGAATAGCTATCAAGTAGCACACCCAGATTCCTACCTGATGATGAAGACCTGACTGAGCAGACATCAAGAGTTAGTATTTTAGTTTATTACATATGGAGACTTTTAGTCCAATAATTAACACCTGTTTTCTCTGAATTAACTCTTTCCCGCATTTTTGAAAAAAGTTACCAGCCAACGCCAGCATTTTTGATGATTTTCACTAAAATTTCACAGTCCCCAGAATATTTTGTTGTATGTATATCTGATCATGCAATACATCAAAATAAAAAAACAGAGCAGACATCTCTCAGACATTTACTGCTACTTAAAAAAATATCAGCTTTATTCTAGCTTCAAGCATTCTTTTTTTTATCAACACTTGAATGTATGTACGTTTCATTAACAAAGTAACATTTTGAGCAAAAACCTGAGAAAATTGCATATTTATCAAATACTACATCTGGATCATATTCAGTAATATTATCAAAGCAAAGATGCAGCAGATGGCTTCCATCAGTCCTCCCAAAACTTGCACAGGCCTTTACCACTTTCTGGATTGACATTTAGGCAGTTTTCATTTATATGCGGTTAGTGTTGATGATCACATTATTTTTCATATGCATATGCTTACATATGAGATCATTCGTTTCTGTCTTCCTGGTCTGTGTTTTTGATCGGGACATTCTGGACTCATTCAGGAGATGCGTAATAGCGCCCCCAAGCGTATAACAGTGAAAACACGCAAACCTGGAAAATTGTATTTAATAAATGTTTTGGGAAATTGGGCCAGATGAATCAGTTATAGTGTGTTAGCAAAGACTGTAATTTAGCTAAGTATGTTTCGTCAGTCATCGGGGAAATATAGAGCTGAGTATTGTCAGCGTAACCGTGAAAACTAGCACTGTGCGATATCTCTCAAGGGTAGCATGTGAAGTGTAAAAACAATGGTCCTAGTGCTGAGACGGTTGTGGGGGGGGGGGGGGGGGACAAAACCACTTTTTATGGTGTATAAACTTTTCACAGCACTTTAATCTTAAATACAATATGTAAATTCAAATTGCCTGTACATACTGGCTCCATTCCTGCACATCACACTATACTTGGATGTAGCTCTATATTCTGTTTTCTATACATGGTTGTTTACTATTCTGTGTATCTGTTGTATTTCATGTGAGAATTAGAAGCTTATACATGATTCATTCTTTCTTTTTCATGTGATAATTTTAGGAAAATGTGCTCGATACGTCAATGCAAAATAACAAGGCCTCATCATGATCCAGCTTCATTTTCTTTACGCACAATATAATTTGCTCTTTAATTTGGGCTGAAACATGGACAGGTTTTGCGAGATTCACCCAAAAACATGCAGTTTTTTCATTCAATTAGCTCTGCGCTGTGCGAACAATATCTCACGACTACTTTAAAGTAGACAAACTACTTCATATGCTACTCAATAATCACAAACAATCTTGGTGACTGACATTAGTTAATTCTGTAGAAAATACATTTAGTAAGTTAACTATAAATGTAAATGATTACATTCATATCATGACTGTTGCAAGCAAACCTAATTAAAACAGAGCAAATACAAGTGCCAGGTCATCGCTCTCAAAACTCATCAGTTTCTATTTCATTATTGCTCTTTAAGCTCTTCTGCTGTAAATTATGAAGAGGATTAGTAACCGCTGGCTTGAGTAGTTCACCAAAAACTAGAAAAGTCATGCACTCATATTCTCAGCCTCGTGTCGTTCCAGTCCTGCTTTACTTTCCTCCATGAAACACACAAAACCGAGGTGGTTAGTGGATGATTTACACTGCTTTTCCATGCAATAAAATAGGACACAGATCATAAAACTGATGTATCATAAAAGTAGTCCATAACACACACACGATATGCCAAGTCTTACAATAGCTTTGTGGAAGAAACAAACCCAACTGAAATTCACTATTCAAGTACTTCAATATCTCAACTAACTATTTGTACTTTAATAATAATGAATATGTGTTAAAAAAATGTAAATTTGGATGTGTCCCGCATGTAATGTGACAGACTGGCATGTGCAGCATCTGCAAAATGCAACAGCAAATGAGAATTAAGCTCTACAATAATGAAGAGGTCAATAATGACTTCAGTTTCGTTCCTCACATAAAGCTAGTATACACTGTACAGTAAACACTGAATACAGTACACAAGTCATACGGACAACTTTTATGATAATTTTATGGCACTTTCTAAAACTAAACAGAATAAATCCCCTTTTATTTTCATGGAATGGAACGGAGCAGTATGCATTAACATCTCGTGTTTTACAGAAAAAAAAACGATGACAATTTTAATTTCTTGGTGAACTACTCCTTTAAATTCTTCATGTAGTTGAACTGCATTACAACATCGTGAAAAGAACCCAAAGACTCAAAAATATCCGATAGCGATCAACATGGGAAGGCGATGATGCTGAAGTATTGTTTGGAACAGCACAGGAAACACAGCAGGAGTTCAGTGCTGTGCTGTGTTTGTGAGGCTCTAGTCAGAGGAGCAGAACAAGTGCTCTCACATACTGAGGGAGAATCTACTGCTTCCGACAGTTCGGCCAGCTCAGTCCTCCACACGCGGCCGTCACGATGAAATACAGCACCACCTGAGACCACAAGACAAAGCCCGGACAAACGTGTTATTTAACAGCAATGACTGGCTAAAGTTCATCTGGCCTCCTCACATGCATATCCACTAAGAGCCAGTAGACATTTAACAGCCTTCATTGCAATACTTCAATGCAAAAACAGGAGGTAATAAAGGAAAACCCATGATGGCATTTATACATGATAGCATCATAAACACCAAACTGCAATATCACCATCTCCAAAACATTTGGAGAACTGTAGGCACTTGTGGAAAAGAGTACAGTAAAGTGAGCATGTGGATCAAAAATAGCATCATAAATTACGTCAAATCACCTTTATTTTATATATGTGACCCTGGAGCACAAAAGCAGTCTTAAGTCGCTGGGGTATATTTGTAGCAATAGCCAACAATACATTGTATGGGTCAATATTATAGATTTTTCTTTTATGCCAAAAATCATTAGGATATTAAGTAAGGATCATGTTCCATGAAGATATTTTGTAAATTTCCTACCGTAAATATATCAAAACTTAATATTTGATTAGATTTAAACACGATTCAGAAACAGAAAGTAGAGCAGCTGCTTTGTTTACAGGGTTTCCGGGGTAACGGCTGCATTTAAATGAATTATTATTATTATTATTATTATTATTATTTCTGCAGTTTAGCGCCATCTGCTGTCAGAGAGTGATAGTGCGCTTTCATCCAGAGCGTCTCTCATGTGTTCCGCCATGTGCTTCTCGTCCGCGCTTATTTACATCAGAGTGCGCACGCATCTTTCACGCAGCATACAGTGGTGTTGTGCATTTTGACCAGTTGATGGGAAAAGTATTCTTAAAATGCATTCAAAATTCTGAATAACTTGTAATATATAATTATTCACGGTATTTAGAAGAGCCCACGATAACAATATCGTGCATATTCATTACCGTGATATATCGCATTACCGAATACCGGCACAAGTCTAATCTCAGCCAAATATTGTCCTGTCCTAACAAACCACACATCAATGGAAATATTATTGATTCAGCTTTTAGATGATGCATGCATCTCAATTTCGAAAAATTGACCCTTATGACTGGTTTTGTGCTCCAGGGTCATATACTTTGTACAATACAGAGAAATAACAGAATCAATGATGGAAACTCAACAACAGAGACTGCTGTAAAGTAGCTCTAAAAGACTCTTGATAAATCCATGTTTCAGTCCCAGCTGGTCCTGGCATGATGTGTTCATAGCTGGCCGAAGATGATCCAATTTCATGAATATTTACCCAAAATATTACCAACATGTCTCCTGCCTCACCAGAGGCACTAAACAGAGTGCGAGAGGAGACTGTGGATTGGGATAGGCTTAGAGACGATCAATAGCTATGTCTCCATCCACCTATTTTTATGTGCATTTTGGGATATTGCATAAAAAACGCTGGATGCCAAGATATGCATAAATTCTAAAAATGTGCATAAAAAAACTTATGCGCTCAACTAAGTTGGATAAATTTCTTATCCGGTAAAAAACCATGTGCATAAACTATGGAGAAAACCATCAATAAAGACATGTGACTTTGCAATGGGACAGCATAAAACTGGACCAACCAACAGACCGATCTCATTTCACAGCATCTGAAATGCTAGTTTTGTCATTCTAAAATGCTTGAGCAAAGTCTCGTCAAAGTGCTTCGTTATAATTAACTCCCAGAACTGGGTTCCCAAACAGCAGACTCCAAAAATAAGATTCGTCTGCGTGCTCTGAAGCTCGTAATTTATAGTATACAAAACTTATTATATACAGTGCCTTCTCCTACTGCAGCAAATTAAATTTTTCTTTGTGATATTTAACGAAAGTTAATCAGGAAGTGACGATTTTGTTCTCTTCAACTCACTGAATGGAAACGGTGCTTTATTGGCAAATGTTTTACACGATATCCCAATTTTGCACATTAATTCAATTTAGGCTTGCGGTGTTGAGCCGCAACACCGGTTACGTCATTTGCCCACCGTGTCACCAACCCCCACCGTCGTTTTGATTTTTTATAGTAATAAAAATAATTTAGTTCAGTAAAAGAACAGACACTACAATTAAAAACTGAACGCGGCTGCTCAATGCAGCGTGACGAACGACAGTCGCATCACAGATCAGATTTCATTTCTCCAGTGAGGAGAGTGAGTCGAGCTGACTGACAAGAAGAGTGAGTGAGACAGACAAGAAGAGTGAGTGAGACAGAC